AACAAGGATACACACACACACAGACACACAGACACATACACACACACACATCTGCACACTGCCCTAACAAGGATACACACACACACAGACACACACACATACACACACACACAAACACACACACACACATACACACACACACATCTGCACACTGCCCTAACAAGGATACACACACAGAGAGACACACACACATACACACACACAAACACACACACACATACACACACACACATCTGCACACTGCCCTAACAAGGATACACACACACACACACACACACTCACACACATCTGCACACTGTCCTGCTTCTCAACTCACCCAGATAAAGACCCTGCAAACACTCGCCAGGCAACTGTCCAACCGCTCGCTTCCTTGGCTTTTCCTGTCCATCTCCCCCTCTTAGACACAAAAGCGTGGGGTGACCCGCGCTGAGGGAGGGGTCACCGCTAACCACCTGAGGTCAGGTGACCCGCGCTGAGGGAGGGGTCACCGCTAACCACCTGACATCCAGGCCCCGGGCGGGCGGCCCCACGCCACGGCCCGCGAGAACGAAGCTCCGCCAGCGGGCCGCGGCCTCCCCGCCCCGGCCTGGGAGCCCTGGGTGGCGGCCGCGGCTCCCGGGCGGAGTCGCTCCAGCAGCGGAGGCTCGCCCAGTCGGGTTCCCCTCCAGCCGAGGGTCGGTGGACTTCCCGCGAGCTGGGCGGGCGAGGGAGGGCATGAGGTCAAGGTGAGAAGGGCGTCTTTAGTGCGCCTGCCACAACTCCCCCCCACACACATTTCAGATGGAGAAACGGAGGCCGGGGTGGGCTGCGGGCGGCGCTCAAGGCCATGGCCAGCCTGGCCACACCCCAGGCCACCCTCCCCGTGTGCACGTAGCTAGCCAGGCATCCTGGCCATGCATGCGCATATGTCCATGTACAAATAAACATCTTCTCATGAGCCACGCATGTGTGTACCGTCTGTGCATAGACATGTGCGTACACAGCGCACGCGCACATCCGCATGCACTCATTCCACACACACTCATGTGGTTACCCTACCAGACAGAGGCATTGAAAGGCGGATTTGTCTAAGATCACGTGGCTAGAAGGAGGCATGCACCCCAGGACCTGTGTTCCTCACCCCAGGGCTCTGCACACATGAGTCGCAGCAGCTGCATGTCTCCTAAGAGCGTTAAATGGCTGTGGTTGTGAGCTAGTGTGCTGAAGAATACAGGCCTTAGCGGGGCAGAGCTGGGCATGGAGGAGAGTTTACTGGATGAGAGACCCCGTGCTCCAGCCAGCGGCACACAGACTGACTGCCATACAGAAGGCTTAGGAGAGCACATGACCAGCCCCACGGCCAGGCCGGCTTCTGAGTGGGCCTGAAACCAGCTCAGGGTGGACTTCGGAGCCATAGCTGTGGGTAGTGCACCCTTGACACATGTGGGCCATTGCGCTGTGACTGTGTGGGTCTGCCTGTGACGACACACTGAAGGCTGGCCATTTCCAGTGTGTTTGCCTGGCATGTGGGGACATCTCATGCAGCGTCCAGGGTACGTGTGGACACGTGCGTGCCAGGCACCTGGGCACCAGGCCTGTGTATACAGTAATGTGGAGCGCTACACCCTGCTGTGGACACAGCGTTTCTGCGTGTGTCTCTACATGTATGTGCTTTGTACACAACTCTACATACTGGATATGTAAATTCATCGTACAAAGTACCCTTGTATATTGACAACATATATGTGTATGCAAAGTACATGTATATAAAACAATATACAGCCCCGTGCGCTTGGAGAAACGTCCGAATGTCTCTGTGCAGGTGCACTGACTGTATAGATTGTGGGCTTGCACACGGGGCATCTGTGTATACATCATGTACACACATTGCCACAACGGGTACCACCCATGTATACACATTGCCTGCAGGATGTGTATATGTGTGTCTGCCTTGCACATGCCTATTCGCAGACCTGTGTATGGAGGGCACCTCTAACTTAACGCTCTGAAGCGCACACGTCAGCGAGCACCATCTGTGTCTGTGCACACATTTGTGCACATGACAGCATCCTACAGAGGGTGGCTGTGTGCAAAGCTGAATGAATATGCGTCTGTGTGGGGCTTATGGGACCCATGTTCACAGTATACACGCATGGCCTGTGCATGTGGCCCGTGTGTATACATGACGTGCATTCTACCTCAGATGGACACATGTAGCACATGTGGCCCAGGCAGGACACATCTCCACATGTGGCCCAGCCTTCTGCTTTACTCTGAGGCCTCTGAGCTCTCACCCGCGGCGCTGCACCAGAGGAGGGAGCACACAGGTACTTAGGAGCAGTGGAGGCCTCTCAGCAGAGGCCTGAGACCTCTTGGGTGGTTGCTGTGCAGTACTGCTGCCATTTCTTTATTCCTTGATCCGTGGTTTTCTATTTTTCTGTCCTACCACCTTGGAGCCCTGGGGGTGCGCCATGTAGATGGGACCAAAGCCTGGTGGGGTCCACCTCTGCCGGTGCCCACAGCGCGGCGGACCTGCCAAACTAGAAGCGCATCTTCTCTTGGGGCTGGAATTGAGTGACAGCTGCTGTGCCAGTCATGGCCATAACTCACCAACGGGCGTGAGTTGGAGGCCCAGCTCCAGGGAGGAAGACAGCCCCCACGCAGCCCCCCGGCCCTCAGGATCTGCGCACATCAGTGGGGCAGCCGGGCTCTGGGTGGCCTTTCATTTGAGGGAGGGTCTGTTGCAGGCAATGGAGGTACCACCTCGGCACTGAGGTGGGGGGAGGGAGGGAGAGGAGGAGGAGAGGGAAGAAGAGGCGGCCTGGGGAAAGGAGCTATTTTCATCCTGTTGGAGGTGTCAGTATATCCCACATGGAGACGCAGGCAGCTCGTGCTCCAACAGATCTGGGGGTAGGAGAGGCCTGCCCACGGGGATACAGCACACATGCACCCCCCCCCTCCCCTAGGAGAATCTAGAAACTACTGTCTTGGAGCCAACTGACCTAGCAGGGCCATTCACCTGGCACCACAGGGCTGGATGGCTTCCCCAGCCAAGCCTGGGAGCAGGGCCAGAGGCCAGGTGCAGTGTGGGGCTGAGGTGTGCGGCCAGGGTCACGGTGGCTGCTAGCACCCCGAGGAGGGGCCCGGAGCCCAGCCTGCTGGGCTGGGCTAGCTAGGATGCCATCTATACTAGGAGCAGTGAGTGGGCACTGAATGGGGAGAGAATGGATGCTGGGAGAGTACCCGCAGGGTGAGGCAGAGGCGGAGACGGTGGGAGGCAGGCATGGTGGCCAGCAGGTGGCTCTGTGGAAGGAGGCCATGGCAGCCCGCCCCACGCTTCCCCAGGCCTTGCTCCTAGTCTCCAGACCAAGGCCTCCACGCACCCCGGCAGCCGTCCTGCTGGGTAGCCGTCCTGCTGGGTGGCCGGGGCCTCGGCAGCCCGATGCCTTCTCCCAAGCCAGCAGCTGGGGCTGCTTCATAGACCTTCCCAGGGTGCCCTGTAGGAGACACACCGCCGGGCCGGGGTCGGCGGGAGAGGTGCCAGCCCGCCCTGCCGCCCGCAGGCACCACGTCCACTACGTGATCCCGTACGACGGGGACCAGTCGGTGGTGGGCGCTTCGGAGAACTACTTTGTGACGGGCAATGTGACCAAGCAGGAGATGGACCTCATGCTGGGGTTGCTGCTAGGCTTCCTCATCAGCTGGCTCCTGGTGTGGACGGACGGCGTGCTGCACCGCGCCGCGCGCGCCTGGAGGGCCGGCCGGCACCACGGTGAGTGCGGGGCCCGCCGCAGGGCCACCCCGGCGCGGCCCGGCCGCCTGACCGCCCTGTCCCCTGCAGATGGCTCGTGGGCCTGGCTGCCACGGCTGTGCAGTCTGCGGGAGCTGGGCCGGAGGCCACACAGGCCCTTCGAGGAGCCGGCCGGGAACATGGTGCACGTGAAGCAGAAGCTCTACCACAACGGCCACCCCAGCCCGCGGCACCTGTGAGCCGCGCACGGGACTCTCGGGGCCACTGTGCAGATGCAAAAGGGCCCTTGTGGACGCCCACCCAGCTGGATGGGACTGCGGCCTCGAGCCCAGTGCGTCCTGGGCTGTGGCCAGCTGGGTTACGGCCAGTGGGCGTGTCCAGCAGGTGCTGTCTCCTCTTTTTATAAAGGGCGTCGGGTGGGGGCTGGGGTGGGGCCAGCCACCAGGCCTCCGGGGCAGCAGCCTGACCACAGCAGTGGGCAAAACAGAGCCAGGCTCTGCTGAGGAGGGGCTGGGGCTGCGGGTGGCGGGTCGTCAGTAGGGACAGGCCTGGCCTGCTTCACACCAGCTTGAGGCCTCATCGGGTAGAATGCTGTTTCCTGTGCACCTGTTGTCCATCTGTCCGTCTGGGAGAGGCAGCAGGGTCTCTGCCCATCTGCACAAGGGAGCATGTGCATGGGGTGTGGGCCTGGGACCGGAGGGGCCGTGGGGGGCCGTGGGGGGACAGGCCCTCAGCAGGAAGGAGCTGGTGGCCCCAAGAGTCCCAGCCTCACTGTGAAGCCCACTCTGCCTGGCCAGTAAATTCTCCAGAAAGCTCCAGCCTCTGCCTCTTCCATCACCCCAACAAAAGGGTTGCAGACTCCCTTCAGCCTGCTCCTCACATCAGCCACGAGACAGAAATGGCAAGGGCTCAGTCACCTTTATTAGACACTAGATGAGAAGGCCCCGCCGCAGTCCAGGCAAGGGCAGCAGCTCCTGAGCACTGGACACCATGGCCAGTGGTTGGCACCCTCGGGTCCACCACACCAGGAGGGGTCAGTGAATTCTTGGCACCGGTGTGTGCAGGCAGGGTGGGGCCTGGGCCCCGGCTGCGCTGCCAGGCCCGGTCTTCCCTGTCCTCGGCCTGGTTCCTGTAGCCCGTTCTGCCAGCACAGCGGGCAGCTGACCTCGGGGCAGCACTCTGCCACCTCCCTGTCCTGCCCTGGTCACAGACACACATCCCTAGAGTCCTGGAGGCTGAAAGAGGTCAGATGAGCAGAGCTGTTGACGCACCATACTGCGGCCCGCAGCAGGCCGACAGGCCGACTCCGAGGGCACCGCGGCCGTGTGCAGAGGCTGGAGGAGGGCGGGAGGTGTCCGGTCCAGCCCTGCTGCTGTGGCGTCAGGGCTGCGGAGGCGCTCGGGGCGCACGGGCCGCAGGCCTGGGCATCTCTACCCTCAACCACTGCATCTTCTGCTGGTGCTGCTGGACGGCATCCTGGACACGGGCGTCCATCATGGCTTCGGTGAGGACTCCGTCCTCTGAGGCATATGCCATGGCCTGCCAGGGGAAGAGTGCTGAGGGGGCCCCTGCTCACCACTGGCCACCGGCGTGGAGACAGCTACGCTGGCCCAGGGCAGCTGGGCCGGGAACGGCCCAAGTTCAAAGTTGGAGCAGCGAGCAGAGGCCCGTGGCCCCACAGGCTGCTCCCAGACCCCTCCTCCATGGACCCGAGTCTGGCTTCTTCTCCCAGCCCAGAGCTGGGCACTGCAGCCATCACCCGCCATCTAGCCCCTCATGGCTGCCCCTCCCCTCCCCAGACCTCACCCCTCCCAGCTGCCCGTGTCCCTTACGCTCAACCCACTACTCAGGCAGGCCCGCCTCTCCCAGGCCCCACCCCCATCTGGCCCTTGGCCAGGCCAGGCCAGGGCCCTTCCCCTTCCCCTTGCCTGGGGCAGCACCTGGGTGGCCAGCAGTCCCATGACCAAGGGCAAAGGGGAAGCAGCTGGGAGGCGTGGAGGGCGCAGGAGGTGTGGGCGCCCACCCCTTCTCGGACAGAGCCGGCCGCCCTCCGGACAGCAGACCCATCTCCACCGAGGGGAGGGGGCGGATGGGACCCAGTGGGGAGGGTGGGCAAAGGCGGTGCAGGAGGCGACCCTGGCTCTGGGAATCCAGGGCAGGCGGGCTGCCTGCGCCCCAGGTGGAGGACTGGTCTCCGGACATTGTGGGAACCTATTTGGTTGTGGGGCTTGGACTCGGCCTGGGCGCTGTCCCTCAGCTCTTCAGCTCAAGGTGAGCGCCACTTCTGGCTTTTCTGCTTATGTGATTTTGAGGAACCGAACCCAGGGCCTCCTGCATGTGAGGCAAGCGCTCTTCCACTGAGCCACTTCCCAGCCTGGGAGAACCTATTTCAAGAACAAGTAATTTAGAAAGTAGGCCAGGTGCTGGTGGCTCACATCTGTAGTTTCAGCTCCTCGGGAAGCTGAGATCTGAGGATCATGGTTCAAAGCCCAAGTACAGAAATCTTATCTGCAACTAATCACCAAAAACCTGGAAGGGGAGGAGCAGTGCACCAATTAGTCTTGCGCCCAGCTCACCAAGTGCTTCAGATGGATTATCATCAAGGGCAAGATGGAGGAGCCATCACTCAATAACTCATCCCACCATACTGCCAACGCCACCTAGATACCAAAGGCAGACACCCTTAGGGGCCGCAGACCACCAGGACACAAAGTCCTCAGACACAAGCTGGTCATGGCACCCATGACAGCAATCTCAGTACTTAGGAGGCTGACACAGGAGGAGGACCAGTTCCAGGCTGCCCTGAGCTGCTCAGCAAGACGCTTAAATACACAACGAAAGACCCTGAAACAAAGCCAAACCTTTAAACAAGACCCTTAAACACACAACGAAAAGCTTAAAAAACAAAACAGCTGGGAAGGTGGCTCAGTGGTAGAGCGCTTGCCTTGCATGCCTGAGGCCCTGGGTTCGATTCCTCAGCACCACATAAGCAAAAAGAAAAAAGCCGGA